CGCCCACCCAGCCCGGGTCCCGGTCCAGATCCCACGGCTCGGGGCGCACAGACCGGCACCGGGAAATGACTAGCTGGACTGAAAGGCAGGAAGTTCCGGCCCCCGCCTCCCCGGCCCTGAGAAACGCCGCTCTCCCGGGCTGTCATTGGCCCAGCGCCAGCCGGTGACGCACAGGCACAGTCCTGGATCCTGCGTTTTCCGTCCTGCGTCCCGCCAGGCTGGCGGCGGCCGGCGGGGAGGAGAGCGAGCCCCGTCGGTCCTCCGTGACAGGGGCCGAGCTGCACCGCGAGCATTTCCTCTTAAAGGGGCTGTCCCCAGGCTCGTGTGACCGCCCAGGGCCAGGTCCCGCCCGCCCTCGGAGGTCTGTCAGAGGCCCATTTCTGCCTCTGTGCGCGCAGCCGAGCCCTTCACCTCTCAGACACTCAGGGACCTAGATGCACGTGGAAAAGTGAAGATACTACCTAATTTGCGGGGTCTTTGTGTACTAACATGAAATGTTGGTCTAATTCGGTGCTTCTCGAACCAGTAACATCAGCATCACCTGGAAATTTGTTAAAAATGCAAGTTCTTGGTCAACGATCCAAACCTCGGGACTCAGAAATTCTGAGGGTGGAGCCCAGCCTTCTCTGTGTCAACAAGCCCCCAGGGGACTCCAATTTGAGAAAAGGGACTCTCATTAGAATCCAGTCAATAAAATGGGAAAAGTAATACTATATATCTCATGGTAGGTGACAGGGCCTGACATATAGTCAAGCTCAATACTTAAGAGCTATTGTTATGATCACCGTTACAAGACTCCCACACACACCCTTGTGGGGGCCCGTCAGAGAGGCCTCTCTGCAGGGTCATTTGGTTATGTGTCAAAACATGAAATACAACGACTCTGTAATTCAGCAAGTAGCCTCGTGGGTAATGATAATTTTTACATGAAAGCACACCTTTTACCGTTTGGCTCCTTTATTTTGTTTTGTTTTATTTTATTCTTAAAAACACATCATGCAGGAGAGTTTCATACACTACCAGTGGGCCTGTTGGCCAAGGGATGGATTCTTACAGGATTCGTTGGGGAGCACCAGGTAAGGGGACAACAGAAGCGGGCAGCGGAGCCCACATGGTTTCAAATTTGTGACGTGATGACAGGACATTACTCATCTCTAATTCTCAGGCGTTAAAGAAAAAATTATTCAAGATGCTTGTTAAAGAACTTAATTCAGGGGCACCACAGTGATAGGTTTGGGGACCCCTGCAATAGAAGCTTGCAGTGAGAGAGACAGTGGGATCCACTCCAGTACAACAAGGAAAAGTGGGGATTCATAGCCAAGGAACAGGGTGGGGGCCAGTGGGTGGAAAATTACTAAGAGGAAACACCAGGGGTGAGGGGGGTTCTGGCTAAACCGACCTAACAGGATTCTTGCTGAAGGCACGCCAGGGGGTCAGACATCGCCTGGGGGCTGGTGGAGGGTAAGGAACCCGATTAGACATCAAGAGTGATCAGGTATGGAGGGTAGGGGGTTGTTGCGAAACTGACTTAGTGTTGACATCGTCTGATATTAGACAATGCAGAGAGGAACATGGAAATCCAAAAGTCAGGGCCTGGTTGAGAAGAGAGTTCAGAAGAGCCTCGGTAGAGGTTGGTCAAGGAGAGAATCTTTGTCCCAAGAACCAAAACGTCCCCCTCTCCTGATCCCTGTGGCGTTCAGAGCAGCCAGATCCAGGTACAAAGATGTAATCACCGGATGTCCCAGCGTGATGTCCATTGGCTGGAGAATACCAGGCCTTGTCCCCATCAAGACTTAATCAGCATGCCGCCTGAACCTGCAGCCCACAGGGGAGCACTCCATCCGAGGGAGGTGGGGAGCTGGAGGTCCAAGGAGGCACAGAATGAGAAAACATAAAAAAGACACAATTTTACAATCACTTCTGTCCATTTTTCATTGCCCCAAACTTATTTCCATGGTCCAAATTAAATGTAAGAGAAACTGTACAGAAAGAGAAAAAGGGATGATGAGCATGTAGCCGGTTTCAAGAACCATCCATCAATTTGGTAACCAAATACCCATTTTTTTATTCTTCCTACACATTCACACTCTAGCCCCTCTTTTACATGACAACCCAAAACCCCATCCAGTAACTGCCTCAGTCTCAATCTTAGTATTTATGCTCCTAACCCAACCCAAGACCAGGAGACTATAAACAAAATACATTACTTGTCACCCTTCACTCCCAACTTATAGTCGGGATTCAGGAGCACAGTGAAAGGACCTACTCAAACTGCTGAAGAAACTACTGCCAACCTTGATTTCTGTACACACCAAGTGTCTTTCAAGAATAAAAAATGAGATAAAATTATTTCAAGCCAAAATGAAAAATTTAATGGAAAATTAACCTGCATAAAATGCAATTCTAGAGATTATGTTTAAGAGCAATGAAAAGTGACTCCAGGGGAAAGCTCTGCCATGATAAAATTGAGGATCTGAGAGCGGAGTGCATCTCTGGGTTAACACGAGTGTTTATTATGTGTATGAAACATGAATAATGTTTCCTGGGGAGTTAGGATGATGGAATTGCCATGCGTACCGGCATTATCATAGAAATTGAGAAGGGACGCAGTGATTAATATTCCAAGTCCCTTATATTGTTCAGGAGTAAGGTAAAAATATTTATAACTCTGTGTACTAACGTGTTAAAATAAGTATTTGTATGTTTAGCTTAAATAATAATAAATAAAATCAGAGAATATACTTTCCAAACTAGAAAAAAAATTTTGGATCGTAAATGAATAGAAAGTATTTTAAAGTACTGGATAAAGAGAAAATGAGGCAAAAAAAAAGCACAAAACCCAAATGCATCAACTATTACATTAAATTAGTGTGGACTAAGTGTTCAAATTAGCAGTCAGAAATTTTTAATGGCTCAAAATGCCCTTCAAGAAGGATTTAAATTTTTTTATTAATAGATGTTATTTTTTAGAGCAGTTTTAGATTCACAGCAAAATTGAGCAGAAAGTACGGGGCTCCCACATACCTCTTCCCTCACATGTGCCCTCAGGCCCCCCTCCTTCAGCATCTGCATCAGTGTGGTGCATCTGTTACAATCTGTGAACTAACACTGACCCATCATTATTAAACAGGTGCATAGTTTACACTAGAGTTCACTCTTTGTGTTGTGCTTTCTATGGGTTTTGACAAATGGATAATGTCATGCATGTATCCACCATTATAGTTTCATACAAAATAGTTTCACTGTCCTAAAAATCCTCCGTGTTCCACCTCTTCATTCATCCCTCCCCCCAATCCCTGACAGCCACTGAACTTTTTACTGCCCCCATAATTTTGCCTTTTCCAGAACGTCATATAGTTGGAGTAATACAAAATGTAGACTTTTCAGATTGGCTTCTTTCATTTAGTAATATACACTTAAGTTTCCTCTAAGTCTTGTTGTGGCTTGATAGCTCATTTATTTTTAGCCTACATACTATTCCATCCTCTGGATGTACCACAGTTTATTTATCCATTCACCTACTGAAGGACATCTTGGTTACTTCCAATTTTTTGGCAATTATGAATAAAGATGTTACAATCATCTATGTGCAAGTTTTTGTGTGGATATGAGTTTTCAACTCAGTTGAGTAAATACCAAGGAGTGCGATTGCTGAATTATATGGTAAGAGTACACTTAGTTTTGTAAGAAACTGCCAAATTGTCTTCCAAAGTAAATGTACCATTTTGCGTCCCACCAGCAATGAATGAGAGTTCTTGTTGCTCCCAATCCTCGCCAGCATTTGGTGTTTTCAGTGTTTTGGGTTTTAGCCATTCTAATAGGCGGTAGTGGTATCTCATTGTTGTGTTAATTTGCATTTCCCTAATGATGTCTGGTGTTGAGCACCTTTTCATATGCGTATTTGCCATCTGTATATTATCCTTAGTGAGGTGTCTGTTCAATCTTTTGTCCATTTTTTATTGAGTTGTTTATTTTCTTGTTGTTGAGTTGAGTCCTTTGTATGTTTTAGATTATAGTCCTTTATCAGAGATATCTTTTGCAAAAATTTTCTCCCAAGCTGAAGCTTGTCTTCTTATTCTATTGACTAGCTTTCGCAGAGCAAAAGTTTTTAATTTTAATGAAGTCCAGTTTATCAATTTTTTTCATGTGTCATGCCTTTGGTGTTGTATATAAAAAGTCATAGCCAAAAACAAGGTCATTTAGATTTTCTCCTATGTTATCTTCTAGGATTTTTGTAGTTTTGTGTTTTAAATTTAGGTCTGTGATCCACTTTGAGTCAATTTTTGTGGAGAGTGTAAGGTCTGTGTCTAGACTCATTTTTTTTGCATGTTGATGTCCAGTTGTTCCAGCACCATTTGTTGAAAAAATTTTCCTTTCTCCATTGAATTGCCTTTGCTCATTTGTCAAAAATTAGTTAACTAAATTTGTATGGGTCCATTTCTGAGCTCTCTGTTCTCAGATCAGTAGATCTGTTCTATTGATCTATTTGTCTCTTCTTTTCCCAATACCACACAGTCTTGATTACGGTAGCTTTCTAGTGAGTCTTGAAATTGGATAGTGTCAGTCCTCCAATTTGTTCTTCTCCTTCAATATTGGGTTGGCTATTCTGAATCTTTTGCCTCTCCATATAAATCTTAAAATCAGTTTGTTGATATCTACAAGATAACTTCCCGGGATTTTTGATTGGGATTGCATTGAATCTATATATCAAGTTGGGAAGAACTGACATCTTGACAAAATTGAGTCTTCCTATCCA